TTTGCATAACAGCAGGTGATGGAAACCGCAAAGTTTCCAAAAATGTGCACATTTGTATGTTAGGAATGAGCTTGGATCAATCCCACTCCAGTTAGCAGAAGATCCAGAACTTCACTGTACTTGGGAACATAACAAACCACAGTGTCACATCTTATGTCTCTTCATTTTCTGAAAGTAGGGAGAGAGATGAAAGAAATGACTAATTATCAGCTGTAGTTAATTCAATTAAAGCATGCCCAATAGCCAAAGTTAAACTCTTGTCAAAGTGAGGGAAAACTACAACTTAGATTCTATTTTAGCACCTCGGTCCGTTGGTCTCAGAATCACAGACCTCGTAAGTCACAGAGTCAGAAATAGAGATGCCATCATGTCCTGTCGCAGTCAAAGAACACAAGTCAAACAATCGAAAAAATGAAAGGTTTTAAATTATATGAATTAGTAAGTAAATAAATGTGACACTTCACCCAAATGCATAAAACGCTTTAAAGTCAGACTCTAACAAACAGAAGCTGTTTCAGTGCTACTGAGTAACTCTTGCTCTCTCCTCTGTCACTGTAGCTGCCCATCATTTACATGTACCTGTCAGATGGAGTATCCGACACACACTCCTCTGACACGGAGAGCCATTCGATAACTGAAAATCTATCTATTAAATCATACAGTCTGGTTGACTTTTTAATAAATAAAACAACCAAAGACAGGACAATGACTACAGATTGTATGTGCCCTTAGATAACTCACTGGAATCTAAGCTGACGGCCGACAAATAAATGGAATAACTACAGACAGCCTGAGCAGGAGACGGCTTACATCTCAGAACCAGCACTTACATACATATCTACCATTTCTTGATCGAAGTGCCTTGTGGCCAGTATTTTATCGTTCAAACAGAAACTTCAAATGCTGCATCCTGCTGATTTTCATGAGTAAGTTTAAATCTTAATTTGGCTCCAACATTCTCCATCACATCCAGTCCAAGTGTTTGTGCTTGTTGTGGCACTTTGACTGGCATTCTGGGAGATGAGCAGGGATATGAAACTCTCTCCTACATTGGCCTAGAGACTTAGAGACCTTATTTCTGACTCCTTCACGCTTCCTGCGCTTACTTTCTTTTCTGTCGTGCCGTCTTGCTTCCCCCGCTCCCAGCTCGCTTTCTGTAGCTCTCCTGTGAACCCTGGCTCTGCTCCTGCCTCTGCTCCTCGTCGTGTCTCTGCCTCTCTGTGCAGGGAGTCGGGGCAGCGCCCTGGCAGGAGGCCTGTCCTCCTGTATCCCCTGCTGCTCTCCATTCATCTCTTCCTCACTCACTGCCTCTCGCTTCCTTTCATCAGCCTTCTCCACCAAATCTCATGCATTTCTCTTTCTCTGCTCAGCTCTCTCTCCGTGTGCACAGACTTCTCAGCTCCATTCATCTCCCACCCTCCCCTCCTGCTCCCACACTCCGGTTTCTCTGCAGTGCTTGTGTAGTGAACATCTGAGCCCTGTATTGTCAGCTCACCTGTTGGAGCAGGGGATGAATAATAATCCGCTCTGCTTCCTTTGCATAGATTCAACAACTTGTACAACTTGACTCATCACTTTCTGCAGTCAGATGAGGTGAAGCGTTGCCCTTTGGGAATCAGACTGAAAGTGGAGCAGAGGATGTAAATGGCACAAGGCATTTAAAAGCTGATATAAAGATAGGAACTAGCCATCTGGGTAGCAGAACATCTTCTAGGTTACAATCACGATCCAAAATCTGATTCACAATTCTCAGACTTCAGAATTGATTTCCTGTTCAAACATCCAT